TAGAATTTTCGGCAACTTTGGGCTTTTTGAGGTTCTTTGAAGCCACTTTCTTCATGTTTTGAGCCACATTGGTCAGATTTCGATAGACATTTATTCAGTTTATTCTAAAATACAATAATTAGCCCCTCCCCCCCATGGATTGATTTTTGTGATGCCATATCACGAGGTCAGCGGTATCACGTTGCATGTTTTTCAAGATGGCGGACAATTACAGTGATTCCATCGTGGCGATTAACTATGATCGTGGGAACACGTCACCTGAAAACTGTATTATGTGTGTATATAACCATGTTTTGTTCATGACATTCTGATAGACTATTTGTTGATCAAGGGAAATGGAAAGAACCTCTGATGTTATCATTGGACTTCAAATAAAGTTTTGATAAGAAGCAATGTGCGAGTTTTTAATCTTTTACACCTAAAAGGGTACGAAGAGCAGAAAAATTTTGGCAACTTTTCGGCAACTTTTTGGAAATTTAGCAACTTTTCGGCAACTTTTTAAAAAAAATAGCAACTTTTTGGCAACTTTTAGACACTTTTATCGGCAACTTTTATGGGATTCATCGGCAACTTGTGGCTAGGCCTACAGGCTTACCGGCGTGTCAACTTACGCACCGTAGAGTTATCCATTGATTAATTGACTCCTTTCATTGTACTAATTGAACTGTCCTTCATTCAGTGATCAAGATAGTAGAGTTACCATACAATACTCACGATTAGTTAATTTGTCTGCTTAGGAAAGTACGGATTGACAACACGATTGAGTTAATATAGGAAATGTCCTTACAGTAGTAATGTAACGACCAAAACTTTAACGACCAAAACTCGTCTTTATTGGTTTTCTATCTGCTCATCGGACCTCGTTACTCACGTGCATATGCCTCCCAAACATCTCAAAAGACGGAACATTCTTGAGCGACAGAGGTCATGTGATGATGTCATGTGACAAAAAGGGCGGGAAAAAACAAAAATAGGGAATCCAGCAACAAGTAACGCTCATAGTGCAAGGCAATACAATAGACACAACCATCCTGGCGCAGTGCACTCTTGTTAAGAGCTGCAATGTATTCTGGTAAAAAGTGATGAATTTGAGAATTCGCATCCCCACTATTCTTTTCCAATTATGATTCTTTTCTATTCTTTTCCAATCCCGATTATGTTGCTGCTCGCTTGCTACGTTCGCTGCGTAGCAATTATGTGTATATATGGTTATAAAAGTATAGTCAAATTGAGGTTTTGAGCACAGCCTATACATCAAATTTATGTAATACAAATATTGTATCCTTCCTAAAACTAGGTTAAAAGAATTAAAAGTCCCCAGCCGTGACAGCCCAACCTCGTCAAAAACTCAGCAACAAGAGCAAGAAGCAGATTAATGACACAAACAGCCAATCCTATTCCCACATACACTCTCCTCAATCCTGTTAGCTTTTCAGAACATGGCATTTCAGACATGGTGTGTATGCCACAGATTTTCTATTTCCCTGCATATTTATTTCATAAGGTCGTATCCTAATAGCCAATTTACCCTAAACGGATACCACATGTATCGGAAAGACAGAGTCAAAGGTATCCGACAGGAAAAAGATAAACTGCAAAAATTGTACTTGTAAACGTCTAACCTGTGGAGAGAAGCGACAACTGGAAACACCTTTGAGTTCACAAGCTGACAAACGGCTGAAAGGAGACAGAAAATAGTTCAACCTTCGCCGTTTCCCATAAACACTATGCCTTCTTGATCAAGCTAAAAATATGCTGTGAGGAACTCTGAGAAAATTTGTCATTAGAGTTTTCTTAAGTTAAAATTTCAGTCTTAAACAACTTAATCTGAGACGCACAATTCAGATTTCAAAAGTGAAATCCCAACTTGTGAAGCTCAAACAGCCAACGACCAGGTTGATTTGATGTGAACACCAGCAGTGGTCAATTTAGATTTCCGAAACGGAAATCTAACTTGTTAAAATTTTTGCCAAGGACAATTCAGATCTCTTAGATAAAATTCTGAATTGTGAATACTAGAAATGCACAATTCGGATTTCTGACTACGGCATTAAATCCAAAATGTACACCTCAGTTAACACTCTGCAATACAGTTAGTAGTTTTCTATCAGTTTAACCGCGGTGAGACTGGGCCTCACATCTGCATTCGTCCAAACAAAACACCTGATAAAAGGAAACAATGTCGAAGACGACTTCAATAGTCAGGAGTCTTTTGAAAACGCCCAATTTCTAATGTGGACAGATGAATACAGATGTTTTTCAAAGCAATGACGTCAAAAAATCATATTCTGTCCTTTACATCAGTGTTTTCGAGCGTTATGTGTGGACGATGGGGGTGGGGGTAGGGGAACGTAACAAAGTGTATCAATCGATACCGCAAACAACGTATATCTCTTCCTGTTTTTGGGAGTCGACTCCAGTCACCCTCGTAGTCGTTGCTTTTTGGTCATGCAACGCTTTCTCTGAGAAAGATAACGTGTTGTGCAATAAGACAAGCTGGAAAGGAGTCGACTGTTTAACACGTGACTTACCACAACGTGAGTGTTCGCGTATGACTGTTGCGAGATGATGGGGATCCGCTGAACAGTTCTTCTCTGGCACTTGACTTGCATTGTTAAGTGCTATTTTCCAGTCTTGGGCAGCCTCTGTGCACTGCTCAGTCAAGCACCACTTTTCTCCATCGACAGATTCTGAATTCTTGATTCTGATGCAATATTTGACGGCTTCATCATATGTTTCTTGGATGTGCTTACACGGGTCGCCAAAAATGATTCTGATACTAGCCGTGTTTTCAGTTATTCCCCAGTGATCGCTGTCTCTCACGCGGATTTGTAAATCAAAGAGTTCACCATCCTTGAACACAAAGTTCTGCGTTACCCTTATTTGTCCGGTGAATGGATGAATGCAGAAATAATTTTCTGGTTTGGCTGCGCCTGCCTTCAAGCAGAGGTCGATCAAGATTAGGTGGCAGATAACGTGCTGTATCTGATGTATACAATGATAGTCGACTACCGCACTACGTCGCTTTTGCCCCAAGTCAGCGCGTGACTGTAGTGGTTGTGTGACACTATCTATGTTAAACACAAATGGCCGAACCAG